AGTCTAAATTAATCTACAATCACAAATCGTTTCTAAGCCCAACTTTAGCTTTCACCAAAGATCGATTTCTAGTTCAACTTCTGTTTCAATCAAAGATCCTTTTCAAGTCTAACATAAGCTTTAATCACAGTTCGCTTTTCAGTACAAACTTTAGCTTCAATCAAAGATCGTTTTCAAGTTCAAACTTTAGTTTTAACCAAAGATCGCTTTCTAATTCTCTTCGTTCTAGAGAAAGTTTGTTTTAAACTATATGTATTTCATAGAAATCAAAACAGAAGAATCTTAATAAGTATTTATAAAGTTTTCGGTTGTTTAAACAATTTGTTAAATACGTTCGTCTGTTGAACTTTTTACGTCATTATGAAATATTAATCATATTTAGACTAAACTAAATGTGTTTATTTTAAACACTATTAATAAACATTCAATTATTTGAAACAAACAGATGTTGAAATATTAAACACATGTTTTTTAAAAACATATTTCTTATAATTCTTTTGTTTATATTAATAACAGTTTTTCGTTTCGTTTTAAGCACACACATTTCAAATTGCAGCACTTTCTTTGCATTTAAACTCTTCATTATGTGTTTTTAAATAAATCACTATCGTATAGTATTTAAATTTAAATTAAAAAAAAAAAAAAACTATCGAAATCCAAATTTTGTATATAATAGTTTCCTGTATGTGAGACAAGGTCAACAACAATAAATAATGGATTAAATTTTTGAAATTAATATGTCAAGATCATTAGGAGAGAATCTAACAGATAACAAAAAGTATATAATTTAAAATTGAATGTTTTAGTTAATAGAATACATTTTAAGATTTTACTAACTATTCTTTAAACAGAAAACTTTAGAAAAACTTAGAATTTTTAACAAAAAATTTAAACTTTTTTTAAAAAGCTTCATATTTTTTTAATATTCTGTCTCAGTTGTGATTTTTTGTCTCAATTGTTTTAATAAATTATTTTAAATTAATTAATTATTTCCTTTTTAAATAGTTGTTTTAATATGATTGTTTTTAACACAATAGATAATTAATAATTATAATTATTAATTATTAATGATAAATAAATTACGCTTGAAATAAGACAAATTTAACAAGATAAAAATTTGTCGTTATTTTTTTAAATATTCAGTAAAAGACTATAGACTATACCTAGACTACAGACTAAACTATAGACTAAACTAAAGACTAGACTATAGACTAGACTATAAACTAGACTATAGACTAGACTATAGACTAGACTATAGACTAGACTATAGACTAGATTATAGACTAGACTATAGACTATAGACTATAGACTAGACTATAGACTAGACTAGACTAGACTATAGACTAAACTATAGACTAGACTAGACTATAGACTAGACTATAGACTAGACTATAGACTAGACTATGACTAGACTATAGACTAGACATAGACTAGACTATAGACTAGACTATAGACTAGACTATAGACTAGACTATAGACTAGACTATAGACTAGACTATAGACTAGACTATAGACTAGACTATAGACTAGACTATAGACTAGACTATAGACTAGACTATAGACTAGACTTAGACTAGACTATAGACTAGACTATAGACTAGACTATAGACTAGACTATAGACTAGACTATAGACTAACTATAGCGAGACTATGACTAGACTATGACTAGACTATAGACCTAGACTATAGACTAGACTATAGACTAACTATAGACTAGACTATAGACTAGACTAGACTAGACTATAGACTAGACTATAGACTATAGTCTAGTCTATAGTCTAGTCTATAGTCTAGTCTATAGTCTAGTCTATAGTCTAGTCTATAGTCTAGTCTATAGTCTAGTCTAAGTCTATGTCTAGTCCTATAGTCTAGTCTATAGTCTAGTCTATAGTCTAGTCTATAGTCTAGTCTATAGTCTAGTCTTAGTCTATAGTCTATAGTTTAGTCTATAGTCTAGTCTAGTCTAGTCTATAGTCTAGTCTATAGTCTAGTCTATAGTCTAGTCTATAATCTAGTCTATAGTCTAGTCTATAGTCTAGTCTATAGTCTAGTCTATAGTCTAGTTTTATAGTCTAGTCTATAGCTAGTCTTTAGTTTAGTCTATAGTTTAGTCTGTAGTCTAGGTGATAGTCTATAGTCTTTTACTGAATATTTAAAAAAATAACGACAAATTTTTATCTTGTTTAAATTTGTCTTATTTCAAGCGTAATTTATTTATCATTAATAATTAATAATTATAATTATTAATTATCTATTGTGTTAAAAACAATCATATTAAAACAACTATTTAAAAAGGAAATAATTAATTAATTTAAAATAATTTATTAAAACAATTGAGACAAAAAATCACAACTGAGACAAGAATATTAAAAAAAATATGAAGCTTTTTAAAAAAAGTTTAAATTTTTTGTTAAAAATTCTAAGTTTTTCTAAAGTTTTCTGTTTAAAGAATAGTTAGTAAAATCTTAAAATGTATTCTATTAACTAAAACATTCAATTTTAAATTATATACTTTTTGTTATCTGTTAGATTCTCTCCTAATGATCTTGACATATTAATTTCAAAAATTTAATCCATTATTTATTGTTGTTGACCTTGTCTCACATACAGGAAACTATATATACAAAATTTGGATTTCGATAGTTTTTTTTTTTTTTAATTTAAATTTAAATACTATACGATAGTGATTTATTTAAAAACACATAATGAAGAGTTTAAATGCAAAGAAAGTGCTGCAATTTGAAATGTGTGTGCTAAAACGAAACGAAAAACTGTTATTAATATAAACAAAAGAATTATAAGAATATGTTTTTAAAAACATGTGTTTAATATTTCAACATCTGTTTGTTTCAAATAATTGAATGTTTATTAATAGTGTTTAAAATAAACACATTTAGTTTAGTCTAAATATGATTAATATTTCATAATGACGTAAAAAGTTCAACAGACGAACGTATTTAACAAATTGTTTAAAAACACCGAAACTTTATAAATACTTATTAAGATTCTTCTGTTTTGATTTCTATGAAATACATATAGTTTAAAACAAACTTTCTCTAGAACGAAGAGAATTAGAAAGCGATCTTTGGTTAAAACTAAAGTTGAACTTGAAAACGATCTTTGATTGAAGCTAAAGTTGTACTGAAAAGCGAACTGTGATTAAAGCTTATGTTAGACTTGAAAAGGATCTTTGATTGAAACAGAAGTTGAACTAGAAATCGATCTTTGGTGAAAGCTAAAGTTGGGCTTAGAAACGATTTGTGATTGTAGATTAATTTAGACTTGAAAACTATCTATGATTGAAGCTAAAGTTGAACGTGAAAACGATGTTTGATTGAAGCTAAATTTGTATTAAAAAACGATCTGTGATTGTAGCTTAAGTTAGATTTGGAAACAATCTTTGATTGAAGCAAAAGTTGAATTAGAAATCGATCTGTGGTTAAAGCTAAAGTTGGATTTGAAAACGATCTGTGATTGTAGCTTATGTTAGACTTGAAAACGATCGTTGTTTGAAGCTCAAGTGGTACTGAAAATCGATCTGTGATTGAAGCTTAAGTTAGACTTGAAAACGATCTTTGATTGAAACAAAGTTGAACTAGAAATCGATCTTTGGTTAAAGCTAAAGTTGGGATTGGAAACGATCTGTGATTAATGTTAAAGTTGGATTTGAAAACGATCTGTGATTGAAGCTTAAGTTAGACTTGAAAACGATCTTTGATTAAAACAAAAGATGAACTAGAAATCGATCTTTGTTTAAAGCTAAAATTGGGCTTGGAAACGATCTGTGATTAATGTTAAAGTTGGATTTGAAAATGATCTGTGATTGAAGCTTAAGTTAGACTTGAAAACGATCTTTGATTGAAGCTAAAGTTGAAGATGAAAAGGATCTTTGATTGAAGCTAAAGGTGTACTAGAAAGTGATGTGTGATTGAAGCTTAAGTTATAGTATATAAAAACGATTTTGATTGAAGCTAAAGTTTGACCTGAAAAGGATCTTATTATCAAACTTGTGATCTGTTATTGACTAGAAAACGATCGTTGATTAAAGTTAAAGTTGGATCATTGATTGAAGCTAAAGTTGTACTAGAAAGCGATCTGTGATTGAAGCTTAAGTTAGACTTAAAAACGAATTTTGATTTAAGCTAATTTTAAACTAGAAAACGATCTTTGATTGAAGCTAAAGTTGCACTAGAAAGTGATCTGAGATTGAAGTTTAAGTTATGCTTAAAAAGATCATTGGTTAAAAATAAAGTTGGACTTGAAGACGATCTTTGATTGAAGCTAAAGTTGAACTAGAAATCGATCTTTGGTTAATGCTAAAGTTGGACTTCAAAATGATCTTAAGTTAGACTTGAAAACGATCTTTGATTGAAGCTAATGTTAAACTATTTAGAAAACGATCAATGATTTATGTTGGATTTGAAAAAGATCTTTGAACTTGGAAACGATCTTAGATTAAAGCTAAATTTTGAATTTGAATATGATCGTTGATTGGTCAAAACTATCTAAAACTGAACTTGAAAAAGATCTTTGATTGAAAATAAAATTGAACTTGAAGCCGATCTTTGAAGCTTAAATTTGGCAATAGAGTGAGCTTTAATAAAAGCAAAGTTTTGGTCTATAAAATATAACTTTGTTTAAAATTAAAATTTGAATTAGAATTAGGTATAAATTTGGTAACTTTCTGCAATCTTAAAAACAATACACGTTTTAACAAAAAGCAAAAAAAAAACGTCAAATTCTGCTTGTCACAGCAACTTTTTTCACAACACTACAAAACAACAAATGCTATTATAACAAACACGTTTTCGTACTTGTTAACCGAAACTGTTTAGTCATACATACTATATCCAAAACTTTCTGCTAAATCAGCAAAGTTAATAATAAACTGATCATAACAAATTAATTAAAAGTAAATAAATCATTTCATTTAAATGCAAACAACCTAAACTATAAAATTTTATTCAATTTAGAAAATACTTATTAAAACAAGTATTTGGTTATTTTTTTATAAAATAAATGCTTGAGTATATTTTTGTTCATGTTTTGTATTTGTTGTTAAAAGACAAATTAAACTTAAATGATTAATAATGAGATTCTTAATATGTATAAAATTACATAAATGAAATAAATGGCAGAACACTATTTAAAACAAGTAAAAATTATATATAGATATAAAAAAAAACAGTTAAGAACTTTTTTTTAAGAATGTTTTTAGTAACTACAAACTACTAAGGCACATTTAAAATGAGCAGGAGTTAAAGGTCATAACCCCACTCCTATTGGTTTTAGTAAACTTAATAACTAAAGAGAGAGAGAATAATGCAAATTTTGGTTTCAGCTTATACATAATAATAAAACTCTCTTCTCATTTAAAGAATTCATAAGAAAACTACAATTCTTCATGAGTTTTAACATTAGCAGCTGCCTCGAATTGAGCTTCTTTCAATTCCAAGGGTTTTGACTCTAATCTAGGTTCTCTTATATAAGCCTTTTCAGGATCACTTTTCAATTGAGCCTCTTGGCTGCCACCAGCAGCAGCTGTATTTGCCATAACACCATCGCCTTTTACTACTACCGAATCCTCGGTATCTGAGATATAACCATAATCTCCAGTATAGTGAGTGGGAAATAATAGCAAAGGACTGGCACTAAAAGCCATAAGATCACGTTTGGGAAAAGCATTAGCCCAGGTTTTATTGGGATGTCTGTTGAACATAACCGGCAAGAATTCATCGACGGGTATAAGATTTTCCAAAGGTTTGGCGGCCAATAACTTTTCAGCTCCCTTTAAGGAAATAACATAACCCAAAGTCCAATAAGAATAGCCTGCATGCACCAAGTTTTCCGTATTAGCCACCCAAGGTTCAGATTCTTCCTTCAAGCGTTTGCGGCCAAAGTAACTTTAGAAGAAAATAGATTAAAAATCCATAAAACAATCTTATAATCAGTTTAAAACTTACACCAAATCATATTCTATAACATTACGTATCTGCTCCATCACCGACTCGGCCTTATCCTTGAAATATGGCTCAAATCTGATATCATCTTCTAAGATCAATACCTGTTCCTGTTTTTCTTCTACCATTTTTTCCCATATCTTATAGTGACTCAAGAAACAGCCTATTTCACCCATAGTCATAGGACGATGATGATAGGGATCCTCATAGCCGGGCAAGAACTTAACACCCATTTCTTCCAGGAGATCATGATTTAATTTTCTGAAATTTTTAAAGATATTTAGCATATTTGTAACAAAATTTTATTTAGGGAAACTTACTGTCCATCTACTGCTGGGAAATATTCTACATCTAAACCCAAAACATTGAAAAGTTTTTCCATTTTTTCACGTCTTTCGGGGCGGCGTTCCAAATTGATCATGTAAATGTGATCGAGGGAGAGTTTGTGTCTGGAAAGAAGGAGGATACTTATTAAGTATACAACAGTCTGTTTACTTTTTGAGTTAAACTTTAGCTTCAATTTCATTAAAAACTTTTTCAAAATCTTGATTATTTTAAAAAAGCGTTCAATGAAAAAAGTTTTGTTAAAAAAGCTTTTGGTGTAAAATATTTCATTTTTTAGAAAAAAAACTTTTGAGAAAAGAGATTTTTCAAAATCTTGATTACTTAAAAAAAAGCTTTTTATGAAAAAAGTTTTTCTAAAAAAGCTTTTTATTTAAAATATTTAATTTTTTAGAAAAAAAAAAACTTTTGAGAAAAAGCATTTTATACAAAACTTCTCTTAATAAAACTTTTATGAAAAAAGCTTTTATAAAAACTTATTAAAAAGCTTTCTCTAAAGTTTTAAGAAAATGTTATAAAGCTTTATATAAAAAAGTTTTTGATAATTTTTTAAATTCATTAAAAGCTTACTCAAAGTCAATATTATTATAAAAAAAAGCTTTTTACGAAAACAATTTTGTAAAAAAGCTTTTTCTGAAAAATATTTTATTTATAACTATGCATGATTATAAAGCTTTTTGTAAAACCCTTTTAAAAAACTTCTTATTCTTTCTTCTTTTATTAAAAATGTTTTTCTACAAAAGCTTTCTATAAAAAAGATTTTCAACAAAAGCTTTTTATAAAAGATTTTCTACAAAAGCTTTTAAGAAAATGTTATATAAAGATTTTTATAAAAAAAAACCTTGGGTAATTTTTGAATTTTGGTAATTAATTTATGAAAAGTTTTCATAAATTTAATAATATTTTAAAAAAGCTTTTTACGAAAACAATTTTTTAAAAGGCTTTTAGAAAAAGCTTTTGTGAAAACAAAAAAAAAAAAAAAAAAAAATTTTATATAAAATTATTTTAAAAGAAACAAAGTTTTTAATAAAAGCTTATAAAAGATTTTTAAAATAGTTTTTTCACGAAAAGCTTTACACGTAAATACTTGTTTTTCAGGAAACATTTGAAGAAAACTTTTTTTTAAAAAACATTTTATAAAAATCTGTTTTCAAAAAAGAAGCTTGAGAAGTTTTTTAGGGAAAGCTTTTTATATAAACTTTTTTATTAAAAACAACATTAACATTAAACAGCTTTTCGTAATGAAAGCATTTTATAAAAAACTTTTCTTAAAAAAGCTTTTCATACCAAAAACAAGTTTTTTTTTAAAGCCAATAAAATAAAAAAAGCTTTTAAATAAAAACTTTTTATAAGAAACGCTTTCCATAAAAAGCTTTTAATAAAAAAGTTTTTATAAAAAGTTTTTCTTAATAAAAACTTATCAAAAGCTTTTCGTTTTTACAGTAACTCTTCACATGCGTAATAGATGCATTTTTATTACCAAAAAAGCTTTTCAATAAAAACTTGTTATAAGAAACGCTTTTCATAAAAAGCTTGCAATAATACAGTTTATGTAAAATGCTTTTTCAGAAACTTTTCAGAAAGCTCCATAAAAGTTGTGAGTAGAAAGCTTTTTCTGAAAAAATTTTATATAAAATTTAAAAAGCTTTCAATAGGATTTTATAAAAAAAATTTCAATTAAAAGTGAAAAATAAAGTTTTCAAAAAATGTTTTCAACCGTTTTTATAAAATGAATAAAAATGTTTTATATAAAAAGCTTTCAATAAAAACGTTTTTATAAAAATAAAGTTCAATAAAAATGTTTTTTAAGAACAAAACTTATTACACAAAATACTATTTCTTCAAAATTTTTAAAAAATATTTCTTTTTAAAAATCTTTTCCAAAAAAGCTTTTGTGGTAATTTAAATCTTTTACAAAAACTATTTTCAATAAAGAACACTTTTTAAAAAAAGTTTTCCCCTAAAAACAACTTTTTCAATCATAAAAACTTAAATATTCTCATATACTCACTTCTTTTCCTCTCTTTCAAATTTCTTCAAATACTCATTGACCTCAATAATATCACCCAAATCATGAATAATATTCGTTTTAATATTAACCAATTGCTTATAATCCTGGGCGATATTATCACTTGCATCCAAAGGCTGTAGTATATAACCAAAAGGTATCTCATTCGTAATAAACAAGGGAATCTTTGAACAGTTGGCAGAAATGGCAAATACAATAATATCATCTACGGGGCCATCATACAAACGACACTGAGGTCCCAAAGTCTGCATATAATCCAAGTCGTTTTTCTGCTGATCAAGGAACTGATCACGATCGAAAGTTAGATAGTGGGAACCCTTGTAGTTAAGATTTATTAAAACGGCACTGTGAATCATGGGCACTTGGAAAATGCCTTCACGATTGACATTGTAGATATCTTGGTAGAGATCTGTGCGCAGATAGTAGTAGTCCGGAGACATGCCACACCAGAAATTGGAGTAGAGGCCTTCGGATAGTAGCATGGGAGCCACAATGGGCAAACGTAGCTGGACCAAATGAGTAAGAGTGTGAGGTTCGGTAAGAAAAACATCAGCATCTAGATACTAGAGGGGAAGGGAGAAAGAAAACAATTAAGATTTAGTGACTAGAGTTTAAGAAAAAGGTCACAAACTAATCTTTTAATTAATTTCAACACAAAGTAGAAAGAAGAACTTTAAAGATAAGAATGTTTGTGTGTTTATTGTTGTTGTACTTACAAATATGTAGTCGGCCCAGTTTTGTTTAGCTTCACGCTTAGCCTGTTCTTTAAGACTGATAAGATGATCGAAGCGTGCACGCGGCCAATCGAATGGAGAACTTTCATTTTGATGACGTTGCGTTTCGGAATCTAAAACTTTATGAACTTTGTGATACAAAGGCTCCACATGTTGCAACCATTCAGTTAAGATTTCTATACTGTTGTCGGTATTGTAGTCAGAATGGATCCTGTAAATAGAAAAATATTAATAAAAGGAATATTTTTCATAATTACAAAAACAAACTTACCATAAGGACATGCGTTCCTTGGGATAATCTTGTCTCTCCAAATAGCTTAAGAACAAAGGCAAAACATGAGCCTTATTACGCACCATTAAGGCCACCACCACCGTAGGCACCTCATCACTTAAGTCCACCGGCAGTAATTTTTGTAATTCTTCCAATGTTGTACCCGGAGCAATATCCTCTTCAGCCCGAGCCGCCAACACCGACAGGGATATAAATAAAAATCCCAAAATTTTCATTATATTTTTAATTTAAAACAATTCTTGTTGAGTCGATGGAAAAACACTTCTTTACTGTAACCGGATGCACTAGTGTATGATTTCGTTTTTCTTTTTTCTGAATTAAATTCTTGACAATTCTATTGCTCTGCTCAGTTCACTCACTGCTGCGGCTGCTGCTAGCGTTGATTATCCATTCATTTGTTTTTATTAAATTTAATTTATGTTGTTGTTTGATTGTATTGTGTGTATACAATCAGTTAAATTTTATATTTTTTTATTACTAGCTTAATTATCATGTTTTTCTGGTTTGTTTTAAATGTTTTTGGGTTGCTGCCTCTTTCGTTGTTGTTGTTCTTCGTTTTGTATTTTTGTTTGAGTTTTCTTTTGGTTTTTATTTACTTTGCAATATGACAGTTTGTTATCATGAACGGAATACAAGAACAACA